GTAGCTACCGGGGGTTCCACGGTCAGTGTGGAGGAGCAGCGTTCGCTCGGCACTGCTGCCGGCTCTGGTGAACATTTTTATAATTACTACTAAACATTTAATAGACATTTAAGTGACTGGAAAATGTTCAGTTAATATAATTGCTAATAATCTTTGTAACCTATATTTATTAATGTAGTGGAAGATATCTATGGCATCCTATCTAATACCGCTTTCAATGGCCACACTACTTCACAGCATGAAATGTTATATATGTCAAGTATTGACAATATAAAATCTTCAGCTTGAAAGAAGAAATCTATTTTAAAGATTGATCTGTTTCAGTTGGTGATGAGAGAGTGTATGGAGGTTGTGAAGGTCCAGATGCAATGTATGTAAAGCTGGTATCTTCAGATGGACATGAATTCATAGTTAAGAGAGAGCATGCACTCACCTCCGGGACAATCAAAGCCATGCTCAGCGGACCAGGACAGTTTGCAGAAAATGAAGCCAATGAAGTTAATTTTAGAGAAATACCGTAAGTGTAGTTTTTGTTACCTTTATGATAGGGTTTAAAGGATATTGTCAAATTGTGTGCTTATGTTAAATCTGTAAAAATGGACAATATTGTAAAATAAGGGTAACTACATAACAACATTAGGAAAATGGTTTTGTAGAATTTTTTAATTTACAAGTTTTAGCCACAAATATGCAATTTTTTATACTTTGTCTTGGATCACTGAACATACAATATCAATTACCATACACCTCTGAAACCGATTTTTATGAAATTTTATATACATATTCAGTAGTTTTGAGAATCTGCTACTATCTATTTGTGAACTTGGCACCAATGTAGAACATAATGTAGAACACATAGGCTACTAATTAAGTTTTTTTTAAAGTCCATTGCTTGCTTTCTATATAAATTGTCTATGGTTACAGGTCTCATGTGCTACAGAAGGTGTGCATGTACTTTACATACAAAGTGAGGTACACAAACTCTTCTACCGAGATCCCGGAGTTCCCCATTGCTCCGGAAATAGCCCTGGAACTCCTCATGGCTGCCAACTTCTTGGACTGCTGAACTTTAACACTGTGGGCGTTTTTGTTTTTTATCGCGTCATTTTTAAAAACAAACTAATTTTCAATAGGCAATATCACTAATTGCTTCATAATTCTAACTTATTCATTTGACTAGATTAGTATGAATTTCAGGTAGAAATTATTTCATGAATAAGATTTAATGTTGGTAACTATTGCTATTAGGTTGGTACACCAGCACTTAAAGGTGCGTTTTCATTGATAATTTAGAGCCATAGAGCATGTCTACTAACTATTGAAAACGCACCTTAAGGTTATTATTTGCATTTGTATTTATCATTTAACTTTCAGTTGAGTCTTAAATGAGTTTAAACTAAAACATCTTAAATTGAGACCATTCGATTTAAATTGGATCACAGTTCTTTGGAAACACTAACCAAAGGAATCTGGCCACAAGAAAACCTCTTTTGGGTGTTTTTTTCTTTATTCTTAGAAGTTGATAAACAAATATATTTTGTAATTTCTCATACATGACTAAGGAGTACCTGTACCTTAACAGTTTTTAGATTCTCAGTTGAAATAAACTGTATATTTATACATAAAAGGGATATAATTGTTTGTCTGTTCTTTTAAGTAATAGTCTTAATGCTTTTATAATTTTCGTCATCAATTTCTAATTTGGTTTAATTTTTTATGTAACATCATTTTTCTACCATTTGTCAAAAACGTTAGGATATTTGTAATAAAATGGTATTTCCCTTGAAAAGTGTTTGGTTTTATTTTTGTTATATTCATAAAATTTTAAGTACAGTCGCGGAAATCAACGGTGTTCCACTTACAAAAAAATACATTGTTTCTTGCATCGAGACACATTGAGTCGCCTCAAAGCGTACGAAACATTCAAATGTCGCTTTGAAGTTGGACCACCGACAGTTTCCCCGACTGTACTTATTTATAAAAATTATACGTCAACTTGCAAGGAATTTATAGGTAAAGAAAATAAAAAGTATTGTAAATGATTTGTCCTTTATTTAGTTTGCATAAACAAAAACAGGTCCAAATCAGTATCGGCTATCTGTAAAATAATCTCGGCCTGTTCACAACTACTATATATGGACTAAGATTTCTGCTTACAATATTACATACTTTGGAATGACATTAGGCAAAAAAAAAAACAACTTTACAAATAAAAATCCTCGAAAGTATCATCAATAAATAAATTCTGACATAAAATTATAAAACTAACCAATTTAATGATCTAAGAATCTAAACAAAATTCCATCTGAGATCTCTAAGCTTATATTATAAAACTTTGGATAAATGTTAAAATAATTATTGATAACCGTTTCGTTTTGTACATTTTTACAGAAAAAAAAACTAGCGTGTAAATACTGAGTTAGAAAACTAAATGCTGGGTCAAATTGTGACACTAGATTCAACTTAACTAAATGAAAATGTACATACATTTTTATTAATACACCATAGATTACAGAATAATACTAAACTATTCTTACGAACCATAGACAATATAGAGGAGATTAATGCTCTGTAACGCAAATCATTTAAACTATAGACAATATAGAAAAATGTTTATTCTGTTACAAAATTAATCACATTATACACAATAAGCATAAAAACTAATTAAGTGTACGTTTAATTGTATGAAAATAATCAATATTTTCGGTGCTTTCTATTAATTAAAATTAATTGCGAGTTTTTTTTTTTTATTTTAAATATATATTATTTTTTTACTGGCAACATTTTTACTAACGTCAGTGGAGTACAAAATGGAGTCTTGGAATTTTAAATGAATTTTTGTTATAAATGTGCAGGAAATATATGGATATGTAGAAATTCTCCATTTATATGTGAATATATGTATGATAACATGACATACGATATCTCAGAAGCGCAACAATGCCGATGATATGTTGATAGTTATACAACTAATATATAGAGACTTGGCGCATGCGCGATTCATTATAACGGTAATACTATAATTAATAAAGCACGATAATTTGTAAAGCCCTTTTTCCACTACGTTTATGATCTCTGCCACAAAAACACCAAAAAATTAGTTAATATATCTTCCTGTTGCGCAATTCCAGACATTTATGAGATATTGAAAAAGATTCTAGTATTGAGCCGATAAAAAAATCTAATGTTCATTTTTTTTCAAATTTACAATTGCATGCGCAAAGTCCCTTATGACTAATCCGATTATTTTAATACCGCTTTCACATATTTCCTACCGCAATTTCTAAACTGAAAACAATAGACCAAGTAATTGTAGATTTTTTATCTCAATTTTTTTGACTATTTTTTAGGAAATTGACATTTCATCATAATCATAGGAAGTTATGATTACGGCAGGACATATGGGGGCGGACACGATGAAAAACATTCCAATAATACAAAAAATATTTGATGAGTACATGATAACACACATCCTGTGATACATTGCAGCGTCACATTTTATATAAATACATAATATATAGAAAAAATGTATATAAGGAATACAAAATATTTTTATATTTAAAAAAAAACAAAAATTTTTATATTGTGTTTTTCTTTGATTTTTTATATTTAAAATAATCTATAAATCAAATAAATTATAATAATAATAACGTTCGGTTTTCACAGCGAAAATACATTAATAAAAACACAATCTCTGTTTTTTTTACAAAATATTTTTGTATACGTTTATCGACAATGGAAAACGAAATTAAAAATGTGACGCTGAATTCACAGATAATAAATAGTTCAGTGTTGTAACGAACACGTGGCGTCTAACTGCTACAGATTATATTGAGCAAAAAAAACGAACAAATTGAGAACCTCCTTTTTGAAGTCAATCAAAAAGTTAATTAGCGACGCTACTACGAGCACAGCGCATAAGCTCCCAAAACACAAAGCTCTCAAAACTCTACCACAGCACCAGAGCCAGAGATAAAATAATCCGAATTATAGTAACTGTCAGTTTTCATTACCAAATAACCTAAAAGTCATTTAAAAAAAAAACGCTGACTTTTTTATTTTTTTCAGCGATGGAAACCAGCATAATTAGCCATACAATAGTATAAAAATAATAAGTACTTTCAAATGTCGAGTTTAATAACAAAGCTTTTTTTTTTCAAATTTTTTGTATTAAAAAATCCGAATAACGGATTTTTTTCCAATTGCCTACATAATTAGCACACTATAGAAGCGGGGTAAAGTAAAATCAGTAAATGCTCGTTACAAAAACAATTAAGTCTAATCTCTTCATAGCCCCATAAGTAAAGCTGTTTGAATCTCATTCGAGATGTTAAAAAAAAGATCCACTAAAAAGCAATTATTTATCATTCATCATTCTCTGCGGGGACCATTTTTTTATTCATCGAGGAGTATATAGGGGGTTCTATTTTCCCAGATATCGCTTGTACACGACTTTTAACAGATTCTAAAGGTGCTAAATCGATTTTTGAATCATCACAAGACGTCGAATGTTGGAAAGATCCGCCCACTTCAGTGTTGCCATATATATGTTGTGGTTCTCTAACATTGCCATATAAATTATAATTATGTATAAGTGTGGACACCCTATTCGAGGTAACGGGAAGACTGTTGTGTTCTTTAGGGGAATGTTCAGTGGTCAGTATTGTTGTTACTGGTTGGTTTATTTTGAAGTCTGGTTTTGGTGGTGGGGGCTCGTCTTGTGTGGAGGTCTGTGGGGGGTGGGTGTTGGCAGGGGGTCCGGATGGTGGGTGTGGGGGGTCGTTGTCTGGTAGCAGTGCGGCGCGCCAGTCCACCTCTGGATGTCTTTCACGGATGCAATCTACCACGTCGAGTAGGTTTTTGGCGTCCATTGCCAGCACATGCGCCGCTGCAAGCATGCTCCTTGGGATAATAAAACAATATTTATCAATAAGGAGAACTGAACTAGCTTATCATATTAAAATTATCTAAAACCTAAATAAATGTCATTTTGTTATAATATTACAAAATCTAGCTAAATAATAAGACAAATAAATTAAACTTTTCCTTAAGATTTTAATTTTTAAATCATAAACGACGCCATAAACTTACAACACTCGTCGATTAATATCAAATATTATCCATACGAAAGTTTGAATGTACGGATGGATGTTTGTTACTACAGATATTTTCGGAACAGTTGAACGGATATAGTTGACATTTGAAATAGATGTAGAACATAGTCTGGAAGAACACATAGGCTACTTATTAAGTTTTTTTATTCCTTTAGTACATCATAGAGTTAGAAAGTTAACTGACGTTGCACTCTCTCCAGATTTCTGAGACGAAAATCTCTGTATAAAACATATCGTCATCCCTGTCTATCTTTGGCAATATGTTTTAAATGGAGATTGTAGTTTTAGAAACCCACGATTAGTGAGGTATGATCATACTTGGTGTACTCGTGCTGCAACGTGGTGTCTGCGTAGCGCACAGCCAGCCGCATCGCCTCCACCAGCGCCGCCATGTCCTTGCTCAGCACCTGGTGCGCCATCTCCACCTCCCTGACATCATACATACATCTCATACATTGACACATACACAGACAGAAAAATGTACGATGCTTCATCAGATTGTCTTTTCTAGACTAGCTTTTCAACGCGACTTCGCTTGCGCGGAATTTGAAATTCTTACTAATATTATAAATGCGAAAGTTTACAAGGGGGAACGGATTTCGATGAAATTTGGCACAGATGTAGAACATATGGAAGAACTCATTAGCAACTTATAAAATGTTTTTTATTTTAATTCGAAGCGGACGAAGTCGCATGCGACATCTAGTAGTCAAATAATAAAAAGTGCTGGATATTCACGCTGTTTATTTAATATTATAAAGAAGAAGTAAGTTTTATTTTTAATTTTTTTTAATTCATGACATTCAGACAAATGTTAATAGTGTTAAATATGTATACCTCTGTGCGGAGGGTGGATATGGTACAACAATGAGGTCGACAGTGGCGCAGAGGGCGCGCAGGTCGTGACCCACCGCGCGCACGCAGGCCAGCAGCGCGGGGGGTGCGGGGGGTGGCGCGCCCCCTGCGCCCCCGGCACCCCCCGCGCCCGCCGCCGCCGCCAGCCGCATCACAGCGCGTACTACGCACGTCGTCGCCGCGTACACCGGCTCGTTCACACCCTATACAATAAAAAAAAATATGTGTTCGAAATCGATCAAACAAATGTTTGTCAAATTGGTTTGATCAAGCTATTTGTCAAACATGTCAAATATTTAACTTCAATGAATTGTAAATTTTGCTTACTTTTTCTTCTATTACTTTTGGTTTTGTTTTAACTGTGTTCGCCGGACTCGTCTCCGAAGAATTTGCTCCTGAAAAACGATTTTCATCATTATTTTTTGCAAATAATCTAAGTTACAAATCGATACCCAACTGAACGCCTTATATATTTGTAAATCTCGGCTTACTTTAGCTTATTTTGGCTAATATTGGCCTATCAATAAAAAAAAATATTGGCTTATTTTGGCTTAGCTTAACTTATCTTGGTTTATCTTTACTTATTTTAGTTCCATTTAGCTTATTTATACTTATTGTGAGGTATATTGTCATATTCTGAGTCACATTACCTGATTGGGGCTGACTAGATCTGTGCTCGTGTCCGCTCTGCTCTGAGTGTTTGTGCTCGCTCGGTTCACTCTCAACAGCTACTTGCATGTTGGATAACCGTTTCTGTTCAAACGAATAATATTATATTTATATTATATTATATTAAAAAAAAAAATTGAGTCCATAATTATGACATGATTTTTGTAAAAAAAAACCAATGATGTCATAAACACGAATTTTAAACATTTTCTCCTTCATCATTCATTTACTCAAAGAAAGTAGAGACAACAATGTGTTTTAAATTAGACAAAATAATAGAACTAGCTGTCGCCTGCGACTCCGTCTATGCAGAATTATAATAAAATGAGTAGTCTATGCGTTATTCCGGACTACGTTTGACATCCATGCCAAATTTTATCGAGATCTATTCAGCCGTTCTGGAGATAACTTTTATATTAATAAGATAAATTTTGAGTATAAAAATTACCAAATTATCTTCTTGCATCTGAAGCCATTTGCTGTCTTCTTCACTCTGATGTTGCTGTCTCGCTAGTTCTGCGAGCAGTCTCTTCTCCACAGCCTGCTCCGTATCGAATTCTGGACTCTGTATACATATGTATAAAGTTCAAATTCTTATATCAAAAATGATATAGCATTAAAGAACTAACTTTTTAAATTTATTATTAAGACAGTTAACAAATAATTTTGTACAATATGTTTTTAGTATATTTGTTATTTCCCGATCTGTCACCAAAAAATGCTTTTATTAAGTTAGTTCTTTTTTTATATTTTTTGAGGAAATCATACGTGGATATAAAAAATTCATGGATATATAAAAACGTGATAATTTTTTATAATCTAAAAGCTGAAATGCTAATCGAATCTGCAAAAAAAGCTTAATATCAAAATTAATCGGAATACTGTACAATATAATAAACTTTATTACTAAAAATGGCTCAAAAGACCAAGAAGCCAGAGCCGTTAACATTTATTTTTTGTAATTTTAGGTGTACAATTTTCGTCCCGATTAATTTTAATTTCACGTATGGTTTCTCAAAGAAAGTGAATAAGGTAAAACATAAAAAAATAAACGAAAAGTCTACCGGAGAAACCCAACGGACACAAAAAACTCTGCAAAAGAAAAGAATAGACTCATTTACAAGAAAAAATCTCAAATTCACCAGGATAAGTATTATATACATAATACGTGTTACATGAACGAAAAAGGGACTATATTTATTATATAAGGATTTGAGGATAAATATTTTGGCAAAACTCAACGGGCATGCATTCAAAAATTTTGACTACACAAACTACCTTCATCCAAAAAAAAAAGAAAAAATCGAAAAAAAAAATTGCCAATGACATGCGTGCCGGTGTATATAACCAAATTTAGTTCTTTACTCAAAATCACCTGAGTGGGCTGCGACGTTTGTATTACTGGGGAGCAATCTTGACGAGTAGCGTATACAGTGTGCGAGTCCACTGAAGACGCTGACACGAACTGAGGTCGGACCTGACCGGAGAAGGCGGAAGTGGACGCTATCTGACTCGCATTCTGCGAGGAAGAGACCTGAGGCCTGTACAGCATGGGCTGAGCGCCCTGCACCACGTTGGACCCGTACGCCTGCTGCGGTGCGTACATGGGCGGGACCACGCCCATCGGCTGCCCGTACCCGGGGGGCGGGGCCGGACAGCCCTGGGGGAGGGGCGACTGGAAGTGAGTCGATTTGGATATCTGATGGCCCTTAGATGGCCCCTGACCGTATTGCACGCCTTGGACTATGCCCACGGGGACCCCAAACGAGGTGGGATGGGATGCGGCCATGCCCGTAGCTACCGCTCGGTACGCGGGCTTCATGGCCTTCTGCGCCGCGATGGCCGCGCAGCTCTTGACGTTATCCCCGCCGAAGTCATATATCTCCTCGACGAGGGGGGGATCCGGCTGGTGGCGCATCTTGTTCATAACGCTGGCGGCAAGCTGGGCGTTGAGGCAGCCCTGGACCGAGAACTGGCCCACGTCCTGGTCGCGGCGCGTGCGCGGGGGCGGGGAGGCGGGCACCGAGTGCTGCCTGGTGAAGGGCGCGATGGGGACAGGGGAGCCGCGGTGCGAGAGACTGCCGCGGGGGTTCCTCTCGAGCGAGCCCATGCGGATGGGCGCTCGCTCGGCGGAGAGGGAGCTCCTGGTGTTGCGCTCCAGAGACCTCACGCGACTGGGATACGTGTCGGTGGATGGATTGGTCTCGCTCTGGCACGGGGAGGAGAGGTCGGTGCGGGGCTCGAGGGCGGTGTTCTGGCAGAGGTTGTCGCAGCTCTGGCGCGCGTCGACGACGCCGGAGAGGGTCTCGTCGCGGGGCTCGTTGTCGGGGGGCGCGAGGGGGTCGAGGCGGTGCAGGCTGGCGGCAGGGATGGGCGCGGTGTGGAGGGGGATGTCGATGAGCTCGTCGGGCTGGGGGCGGCGAGCGGGCGGCAGCTGGGTCTCCGGTAGCGCGGGGGCGAAGTCGACGGCGACGGTGTTGAATACCGATGCGGGCGTGGTGTACGCCTGGGGCTCGATGGCGCGCGCCTGGTTCTCCCGCAGCAGGTGTGCCAGCACCAGCGGGTTCTGCGCCACGATGTAGGTCTGTGGCGCTCCACCGGCACCGACGCCTCCGCCCGCCGTCGACGATGAATCTAACACTGTACACAAATAAATTTACATTCTCACAATCCCAAAGGATAGGATATGTTTGTTATGTGTGGTGTTGTGAGTACGTACCCGGCGGCAGGTTGGCCGGAGGGCGCGAGGGTTTGGGCGGGGGGTCGTCGCCCCAGGAGGCGGCAGCCACGCGGCGGTTCTCGCGCCGCATCGTGTCCCAGGCCGTGCTGCGCTCCTCCTGCAGTATCTCACTACAAAAACAAAGCAAATAGTATAAGAGCGATGGCAGACAAAGCCAGGCAGAGTTTGAGCTGAGACTTACAAGAGGGTCTCCTTGAGTGCGTGTGCTGCAGGTCGCTGGGAGGGCTCGTATGCCCAGCAGCGTGACATGAGTGAGTAGAGGCGAGGCGGGCAGCGCGGCGGGAGGGCGAGCCGCTCGCCGTTCTCCAGTTTGCCGATCACGTCGTTGTTCTTCACGCCGCTGAACGGCTTCACGCCCAGCATCAGTATCTCCCACATACATACACCTACAAACAAAAATCGAAGTTATAATAACGTCTTTTATCACATTTTAGTCTAATATGATAAATTGTGTAATTATCTTGATCAAGGCCACACAAGCTGTAGAAAAACCGCATTTTTCACTATAGATGTCATCATGATCAAGAGTGGAACTAAAAATTTCGATAACATCATACAAAAACGTTGACAGATGACAGCCCACTCTTGACGTTAGCCCCAATCTACTTAGAGCCAATTTTTGTTTTTGACTTTATTGCTAAATTATAATAAATTATTTAATTTAAAAGATAACATAATATACATACCAAACATCCAGACATCAGAGGCGGAGGTGAATCTCCTAAAGTTGATGGACTCTGGCGCCATCCATTTGATGGGCAGTTTGCCGCGAGAGGCCTTGTAGTATGACTTGTCGTCTACACGCTTCGACAGACCGAAGTCTGCTAACTGGGAACACGATATAATAATCACTTGGCACGTTGAAACAAACAGTGCTCTTTTGAACGACATGCCAACTCTTGTAAATTATTAAAAGGAAAAAACTAATCTGGCAATTGACTTGGCACCTAGGAACCAGGAGTGCCAATCTAAACAAAGTCCCAACCGTGCTAATACAAAAACATATGATGTTCAGACATCAAGTTGCAATCATTTTTGCATCGCTCGTGTGGCATCTCCAATAGTGAAATTATAAAACAGACAGTTCAGATGGATGGATGGATGTTTGTTTGAAGGTATCACCAGAACGGCTGCATAGATCTCGCTGAAATTTGGCATAGATGCAGAACATAGTCTGGAAGACCATATTAATTTCAGTAAGTTTTTTTTAATTCCGCGCGAACGGAGTCGCGGGCGACAGCTAGTGTATTATTATATCTCTACCTATAAGTTAATATAAGACAGACAATTATATATTTCTTATGTATTATAATACCTTAACACATGTAGCAGTGGAGACGAGCACGTTCCTGGCTGCGATGTCTCGATGTACGAACTTCTTGCTCTCCAAGTAACTGAGTGCCGTCGACAGCTGGTAGATGTACAGCACCAGGGTACATGTCTCTAATCTAAAAAAATGGATAATTAACATATCTATGAGAGAACTAGGATATCTTAACATGTGAGGGGCGCTGCTGTCGCGGTTGGTACCAGTCCATTGTCAGAATGGTTAGTGAGGGGACATAAACGTCGACATTTTAGAAAGGCTGGTGTTGCGTCAATACTGGCACAGTGTCGGATTTTTTTCCTAACAATACTTAGATAAAGGAGATATAAAAAAAATAATAGACAGCTACAGTACAAAGAGGGCATTGTAACATTTTTGGATATTGACTGAGGGGCGCTAGTGAGCCATCAAATTTTAGTTTGACTTATGCCTTCCAGTTCAGATAGTCTCGTCGGTCTAGATAGCCTATGGTCATTTATATAGAATAAATATATAAAATAATTTATTGAACAAAATTAGAAAAAGTACGGAAAAGTAGTAGGTATACTCATATCGAGTTATACGTCTATCTCTTTTTTCCTTTCTAATTTATATCTTTTGTCATGCTCATGTAACGAAATTTATTTATTTATTTATTTATTTACATGGAAAACTTACAGCTATAATAATCTTATTAACTATAGACTAGACAACTGAGAGCCAATGACAAGTCTTCACTTATAACAATTATATTATTATTATTTGCTTACAAAGTTAATTAATCGTGTAAATAAATGAACCTGTGTGCATTCTGCTGTAAATAAGCTCTCATTTCTCCTAACGTGGCGAGCTCCATCACGATCCATATCGGCGGGGAGCTGCACACGCCCACTAGACCTATGATGTGCGGGTGTGAGAACTGCTGCATTATGTCTGAAAACAAAAAAAATATTTATTCTTTTACTAATATTATAAATGCGAATGTATGGATGGATGATTGTTAGAAGGTTCACAGAACGGCTTCATGGATCTCGAAGAAATTTGGCATAGTTGTATAATATAGTTTGAAAGAACACGTAGATTAAGACATAATGTCATCCTTTTCTTTGTATTGCAAAAAGTTGAGATAGCATGTTTGTTCATTTCAACTATGGACATCGAAGTCTCGAGCCGATGATCCAGACTAGGTCTAGAGAGGTAGCTACCATAAATTTGGTCTTATTCAAAGTATTTTCATATGTATTTGACATTTTTCAATCCTTATGCCACAGAGGACAAGGGTGACCACACGTATATTCAGTATAAAAATTAAAATATTGTATATTATTTGACCAGTCACTAAATTCCACTAGAAAAAGTGTCTTGACAGACAGACGGACAACAAAGTGAGGATCACTTCCAGTTTCACTAAGGGTTCCAGTTTTTTCTTTTAGAGGTACGGAACCCTAAAAATTAGAATTAAAAAGGAGTATACTTGTCATATTAGCTATTCGTGTCTATTCGAGTACTCACAAGCCTCTTCAAGGAACTTCTCAGCGGTGTCGAGATCCGCGTCCATCTTGCATGTCTTGACGGCGACGTGCAGCACGTGCTCGCCGGCGCCGCGCCCCTGCTGCTTCTGCAGCGCCAGCTGACGTCGTAGTGACGGATGGTTGGCTGACGTCACACGACACGTGCCTACATCACAACCACACAACTCTATAAATAGACTGGCTATAACACTTTGTATTTTGTGCCTATTTCATTTTGATGGTATCGCTTTGTGTAAGCAAAAGCTGTCATATCGAAGCAATCGCCTATCCATTTATAGAAATCACATTGACTCCCATAAGTTTTAAGGGTTCATCATCAGCTCACTATAGGTCCCCACTGAGGGGCTCGGAGCCTACCCTCAGTCAGAGGTGACTAGGTCATAGTCAACCACGCTGGCCCATTGGTTGGGTTGACTTTACACATATCTAAATCTCTTCAAAAGCTGGATTCGAAACTATAGCCTGCAGATTACAAGTCAAGTGCTCAACCCTTGAGTCAACTACGCTCTAAATCTACGAATACTGTATAATAATTTGAGTAATAGTTACTAATCTTTGTACTGGTTACTGAGAAATGGTTACTATAATAAGATTAACTTACCCTTATGCACATCACCGAACTGTCCCTCTCCAATGATACCGGTCAGTTCGATTTGATTACGAACCAACTCATAATCTCGAACTGAAACATTAAATTTAAATTTTATACTAACCAAAAAAATATCAAAAAAAAAATTAAAAAGGAGCTTTAATTATGTTCTTATTAATTAAAAAAAAATAGACTATTAGTCAGATTCGAATGAGTCCAAACTCGATGAGGTTCACCTGCTGGTGTGGAGTAGTCTGCATCATCATCAACAATCTCCGCGTAGTCCTCAGACAGTATGGTGGCAGTATTCGCCTCCCACGAACTTGTCTTGCCCTCTGATGAACTGCTGCTCATCTCTGCTGCTATATATTTAAAAAAATATATAAATATACATAAATGTATATCTTACTAATATTATAAATGCGAATATTTAGATGGATGTATGGATGGATGTTTGTTTGAAAGTATCTCCAGAAAGGCTAAACGAATCTCGCTGAAATTCAGTATAGATGTAGAATATAATCTGGAAGAACACATAGGCTACTAATTAAGTTTATTTTAATTCTGCGCGGACGGAAACACGGGCATCAGCTAGTCTGATTTATGTATAAAGTCCTCCTTTCACGATGTTAGTAACCATATTTCATAGAAACAACTTCACCGATTTTTATAAAATTTTAATATATAATAGGTCTGAGAATCTGCTACTAATTATTTTTTAATTCTACGTGGACGGAGTCGCGGGCTAAAGCTAGCATATTCGTAACTACAGGACAGATATTAATTGACATTTTTGTAGGATACATACAAAAATTTAAGGCTTCACTAAAATGGTTCAACATTTTTAAAGGTTCATCCGTAAATATTAGTACATTTGAACATAATCTATGGAAAGATAAAAATATAAACTAGACGCAATTATAATACAGATAATATAATAAAAAAAAGAAAATTTAAAAGACATAAAGATTCTACAGACAAGCTGAAATATATTTTTAATGCTTAAATAATAAATATCACATGCTTATTTTTATTGATTCCACATGGAACATACAAAGTAAGATAATAAGAGATTTTAAGCAAAATTATAAAAAAAAACTATTTAATATTTCTAGCAACACTTATTTTAGCCTATGACTTACTTTTACATTGACAATTGAGTTGTTTCCATACGGTTGCTAGAAAATTATTATAAAAAAATCTTACTAATATTATAAATGCGAATATTTTGAATGTATGGATAAATGTTTGTCAAAAGATATCTCTAAAACACTTGTACTCATCTTGCTGTAATTTGGCATATACGTAGAACTACTGGTAAAACACATAGATTATTTACTAATATTTTTTTATTCCGCACAAACGAAGTTGCGGGCGACAGCAAGTCAATTTTAGTATTTGGATCAAAATTAATATAGTTTTTATTAGTAAATAGTGAAACTTACTCGTTCTATTCCATAGAGATGTTTGCGAGTCTGTAACCAGTCTGCAGTAACCGTCCACTAAATCTGCTAAACTTTCTGCCGCCTGAACATAAAAATAAAAACAATTATGCTCCAAATAAAAAAAGAAAAAAAGCAAGAAAACTATGTAATATTATGATTTTCTTGTATAACATCACATTAACACAATTAATTCCAGCTTGATATCTTCACGCATTTTTGAGAAAAAGGGTCTTGACAGACAGACGGACAACAAAGTGATCCTATAATATAAGGGTCCCGTTTTTTTCCTATGAGGTACGGAACCCTAAAAATGTTTTTTATAGATGTGAGGCGAGCAGAGGGTTACATAAATTCGCCAAAATAGCGAAGTTATCCATATGTGCAGATGACTTTCCTGCCTTAATTCGACAGAGGAGGGGATGCACAGAAAGAAGATTTTTCCTTCTTATACGTCTCTTCCACCAACTCCACCTCCCCTTCCAATTTAATTACAAAGGGATGGGAATATAAATAGGTGCAAAATTAAGCCTCTGACACGTAAGGAAAAGTTCTTTTTTTAATGTTAAAGTTTTCGTACTGCTGATTTAATAAAACTCTATTTGTGTTACTTATGTTTTTGATAATAAATTCAACCTTGCCAAATATATTAACTATAAGTTGTTTTTTTTTTTTAATTAATTAATGATGTAGTTACCTCCACAGTGCTGCACATAATAGTGAGGGTCTCTGTGGCGCCCTTTACTCTTAACTGCAGCGCTCCCTTACCACACGAACCACTCTGCAAAGACAATTTGTAGTTAAACACATTCCTTAAATTTAAACTAGATGGCGTTATTCTACATTATTCAACTTAGTATATTTCTATTCAAATATCTTGACGGCTCAAAATTATGTGCGTTGTGCAGTGCCTTCCCCTGCATAAAAATTAAAAAAGTATTCCTTTTTTATTTTTAGGAAAATCTTAAAAAATTACTTATTTTTTAATTAAATTTGACAATAGTCGTTGCCATGACAACAGTCAACAGATTACTTTGTATATAAAATAAAGTATTTTTTGTATATATTTTGTATATTCAGTTCTACTTCCAGTCTTGATCATGCTGACATTTAATGTGAGCAAAAGGCAATTTTCCAAGACTCCTACTATGTCCTGAGCCAGCGAGATATCTGAAATGTAATATACTTAATAGAAAGTGACCTGTGTCTGTGACTGCTGCGTGCAGTTAGACTTGAGAGTGTGGAGCGCGACGATGTCACTGAAGGAGGCTATCTTGGTGTACGTGGGCGGCTCTCCTGCCTTGTGGGACACGTATGATATGTCTGAAATTAACAAACATGATGCTAAACCCGTTCTAATCCAACAACATAAATCAATATCACATTGCATAGGTATTTAGGAGCTGAATAAAAGTTACAATAGTACCAAGCTTCAATTATTACTCCATTAACCGTTGGTTTCTGAGACCAAAATAGAGATTTTTTTATATCATAATTTATATAGAGATATAAAACATATAATCATCCCTGTCATTATCTTTGACAAAGCAGAGATAACAATGTAATTTAAACAGCGATTCTGTTATCAGAAACCCACTGTTAGTTGACCTACTTGAAAGGTCAATGTTAACTGGTCATCCATACAATTGTAATATAATCATACCAATATCAGGTCCAATAGCGAGCTCGACAGGTATAGCCCAGCCCCCGCCGAGAGCCGCGGTGAATGTCTCGCGATCGTAGCCGTAGTGCGTGTGCATCGTCTCCACGTACCGCAACATGCACTCCACATCACTCAGATTGGCCACCTGGAATATAAAAACATGATTAAGTAAATCTTAGAATTATTCATAATGGATTGCATTCGACTAGTCAAGCATTTCCATTCGATACCCATGGATTGGTTTTGTAAAAATATCCTCCGCCATTTTGTGGCGGCTGTCGATCATTTACGAAATTGAATTTAAAAAAAACGGAATTTTCATCAGAACTAAAAACGCATATTTAATCAGAATTCTTTATGGTGAGATGGTGCGAAAGAAGTTTCAAAATACCTTTTTGAATTGCTGTTGTATGGCCTTCTTGAGAACTTTGGGTTTGATAGCATCGAGCACAGACTTGGGCAGGAACTTGTGTAGTCCAAACTCCTTCTCTAAGTACTCTATGTTTGACTTCTTGTCTAACGATATCTGCATATCTTTGCAGAAATATCTGGAAACAATGATGTAGTGTATGCATAAATTTAGTGTTGTTTGTCTCGAGCGTAAACGCCATAAGTACATGAAGGAGAGAGGGGACGTCAGTTGATGTTAGACCTTTGGACCGGTAGCACTTGTCGGTACGTGAACGAGCTAAATATAACGCAACGAATGCCACAAATAATATAAAAATAGTTGCCCCACGATCACACTGACCCTGAGAGTTATCTAGTCCAGGTAATATTAAATTGGTAAAAACATCTATACTATGCTGTTAAACTCTCACTGTTCTTTTCAGATTTATTAAGTCATTTTGGAGTTAGGTTGTACAGTCATACATACATGCAAACTTAAGTTAAATAACTTACTTTATTTCTAAACAACATATTTGTATCGCCAAGTCCTGATCCACCATAGGATGGTTGGCGTTGAGGTAGTCATGTCGCACCTGAAAATTAATAATTCGATGAAGATTAGTTTTTGGTTTTAAATCTATACCAGACTCTCATCCAGAAATTTGATAATAGAAAAAAACTCTAGAATACTAAAATATTTATGGTAAAACAGTTCTCATATTATACTATTAATTATTAAAAAAAAAACACTTTATCTCACAATTTTCGCGAAATAAGTTAAAAAGATCACATATTGCGATGTGCTATTTTGGTTTTGGAATATCTCAATTAGTATACATCAGTGTATATTCCAAGTGTCAAGTGTACCTGGTCGTAGTAATAATGGAATGTGACACGGTCCGCGTCGCACAGATCGCGCAGGTTTGCGGGCAAGTAGCGCACGCGCAATTCCAGCCGCCATTCGCTGGCCGGCCAGCGCGCCGCTAGCTCCGACACCGCTGTGTCCTGGTGGATCCATCGGATCTGCGAAAAAACAATGGTATATAGTAAATTATGTCACAACGAACACGCAAAATTTTACTAATATTATAAATGCGAATTTTTGGATGTATGGATGTTTGTTAGGAGGTTTCTGCAGAACTGCTCAACGGATCTCGATGATATTTGGTATAGATGGAGAGCTTAGCATGGAAGAACATATAAGCTACTCATTTTTAGAGTTCTGTACCTCGAAAGGAAAAAACGGAACCCAGAATCACTGTGTTTTTTTATTCTGCGCGGACGGAGTCGTGGACAGCTAGTAGAAAGTAAATGTCATTGTAGAAATTTCCTAACTGACGCCGTCCTCAAGAAGGAAGTTAACCGCTGGAGCCTCTTTAATTTGCACGTGGAAAGTATGAACAGCCTGTATAAAACAATATGATATAACTATGTAGTACCTTGCCAGTAGTAAGCCGCCTGGCTCTTAACGCATAGCATGACGCGTACAATCGGTCACCAGCGGCAAGTCGCGCCGCCAGTAGCCGTAACACAGAGCGCACGTCCTCCTCGGGAGACGCACGCACCACGTTGAACCCGCCATTGGGCAAATGCACCTTTAGCGTTGACTGGTCGCCCGCCGCGCCTGGAAAGAGTAAAAGAAAAGGTGTGTAGGATTTTCCTTTTAGTCTAAAATATCGCTGACCCCACTTTGATATTTTCGTGATGAAACCTGGCCATATCTGTAACATAGATGTTAACGCAAACGAAAGATTAACTTCTTACTAAAGTTTCACAAAAAAAAAATTAAATCTTGATATGTATATTGATTGTTTATGAAATCTTACTAATATTATAAATGCAATGTTTGGATGGATGGATGTTTCTTTAAAGGTATCAGAACGGCTGCATGGATCTCACTAAAATTATGCATAGATGTAAAGCATAGTCTGCAAGAACACATAATTAAGTTTTTTTTTTAATTCGGGCGGACGTAGTCGCGGGCGACAGCTAGTGTAAAATAAATGTCAATATTAAATCACATTAGCTTAGTTACACATTTTATACTAATCAAATCATTTAATCACACCTAGTAACTTACATACATTTAGTCAGAACGTGTACATATATGGTGATACCACTACAAAACTCAATGACAACCCTGACATATTTATAAAGACGTATAATGCACAACTGTATAATACCATTCAAACTTTATTGAAGCTCGGAATACCGTTCCTGAGGCTGCAAAGACCAATATTATTAGCATCGGCTACAGAGGGACTCAGGAACGCTTTCCTGCACCAGCAGTAGACCCAGCTGATACCCCACATAGTTTGACATGAGATCGCAGTTAATTACGAGCCGCCATAAATCTTGGATGTCACTATACATAGTGATGAGGTTAAACGCAACGCTAAACACATTCATTTGCGTTAAGTTAGAGGTCATGAAAAAGAGTCGTTATGTATCTACGCCACTGGTCTATATTTTATTCACGGTTTGTGATAGATTCAAAATTCAATATCTTTATTGAAACACAAAAAAAAGTACCAAAAAAGTCCTTTGGCTCATGCACTAGCTTGCGCTATATCTTATGAGCCAGTCTTTTGAATCCATTCTGAATCTTACTAATATTACAAATGTTTAGATGGATGGATGGATGTTTGTTTGAAGGTATCTCGAAAACGGCTGTATGGGTTGCTGAAATTTAACATAGATGTAGAACAAAGTCTGGAAGAACAAATAGGCTACTAATTAAGTTTTTTTTATAGTGCACGGACGAGGTCGCGGGCGATAGCTGATCTATAATATTTATATCTACCAGTAAAAATCTGTTCTTAAAACTTGTCTCTATTCTAACAAAACAGTTCATACATTTTCAAACGAAACCTTCGTTGTTTGCCTTCATAATTGTCTAGTAAATAAAATTGACATGCGGAACATTACACAATTTTAAGGAAAACGAGTATACGTTGTGTGCCTAAAATAAAAGCAAGGTTGCTTAGCGTTGAAAATTGTTTTTGAAACAGTCGGTTTTTACTGCCGCAAGAAATGTACAAAGACCTTTGTTACCATCGCGCATAAGTACATCGAAACAGAATGAGGAGGGTTCATAATGCATTGCACTATTTTTGCTGTGAAAGCTCACCTTTACTATGACTATATCTTTAACCTTATATTAGATTTACACACTAAAACCTCAGAAGAAGTAGATTCAATTTTATAGCCTCCTTTATCTAACTCGTGAAAAAGTAAGATAACAAAAAGTTCTTTTTTAGTTAAAACGAAATCAATTCTCGGAAGGATGGCTTGTAGACGTACAAAACGAAAACGAGATATAAAAAACATAATTACTATTCCGCCAAATAACCTTAACATGAATATTGTAAATCATAAGTATTTTATCTTTCTATTTTACGATTATTATAAATGCGAATGTTAAGATGGATAAATGGATGTTTGTTACAAGGTATGTTCAGAACGGAACTCGCTGTAATTTGGTATAGATGTAGAACTCAGTCTGACAGAGGACAGAACACAAAGGCTACTTATTAAGTTTATTTTTTAATCTGCGCGGACGAAGTCGCGGACGACAAAATATTTACTAACTTAACTGTAATACTCAGAGACGTTTATAACACACTTAAGCACTTCAATGTATTTCTCATACTAATTCATCATTGATTATTACCTTAAGTGCATAAACTTATATAAAAACGGCTAAACACTCACCTATATTTGTCCGGTGGTCACTCAGACAGGGACGTGAGTGTTTTACCGTTTTTATATAAGTTTATTATAATGTCTCACGAAAGTTTAAATAATACTAAGTACATAGTGTGTCAGTAAGTGAAATTTTGATTATGCAAGTAAATTACTAACCAATTATAAATAAGGATCTATTAGAAGGCAAATATAAAAGTGCATTTACCTTCCTTAAAAATTAGCCTGACAAATGCATTTACTTTTCAAATACTCAGTATTGTTTTGACATAGATTATTATATTAGTCTATGACATATTCACATCTATATCAAGTAAATAGTAAATGTTATTTGCCGGATCAATGAACAGACAAATTAATTGGTTTGTTGCTCGTAATGTAACACGGAACTAATCATCTGCATTTAATACATAGCTACTATGTATACATATATTATATTACTAGCTTTTGCCCGCAACTCTGTCTGCAAAACTAAATTAACAGTGGTAGAGCCCGCTTTAACATCTTCGCACGAATTGGCCTGGCTCGTCCGGTGAAATACCACGACCATATAGAAGACAGGCGTGAAGTGGAAGCAATTCCGCGTGCAGTCTGATGTGCGTCCCGGAGGCCATATTTAGTCGTCTTTCCCTTCCCACCCTTTTTCTTATAAGGAAAGGATGGGAAGTGGAAGAGGACTTTCCGGATGAGAGGATACATGGGAAGGGAAAATATTTTCTTTCTGTGCATCTTCTCCTCCGTCGATTAAAGGTAGGCAACGCATATGCAATTGCGTATGTCTATGGGCAACGGTCACATCGCTATTTCAGCGATTTCATGTGGCCGCTCGCTCATTTGCAAATTAAAAATATAAAAAAATGTAAACAAACCGACAATATTTCTTTTTTGTGTCGATCATTAAGTCCGTTTCAAAAATATATCAAGTAATACGAAAGTTGACTTGAAGTGTACTCGTTAGGGTTGCCTCCGTTCCCGCTTCATTACCGACCATTGACCGGAAACGAGGACATCCCTAGGGGTAGCAAGATAATTGGCGGATTGTTCAAAACTCTACCAAGACAATAAATTATCAATTATATTTCTTAAATTGTATAAGAATACTGTCAAGACATTTTAAAGATTGTTATAATAATAATTATAGAAGAAATGTGTGTTATAAAAATATAAAATATTCAGTATATTTACATCTTTTAAGCCATAAATTATTAACAAAAGTATAGTCTTATAAAAGAATTACCACAGTGTAAACTCACATTAATTCGAATAGAATTAACAATGTTTTCACAGACAAAGAGATAAGCGGCATTTGTTCCGGTGACGTCGAGTGGTCGGAAACAAAAGCGTAGCCTATCGCCAATTAAAATATCGACGAACATTCAACGCTCATTTTAATTTCAGCTACTCGAATAACTCTTGTGCGAATTAAACAGATAATTGAACTTCCAATGTTCCAATTTAATTATTTTTACTAGACTTATCAAAAGCGCCATCAGCCGATGATCTAGACTGCATCTATCTGGTAGTAAAAAAAGGAACAATATTCCAAAGGTAATGGTAACGGGAAACACATGAACAACAGTTTTTGTTTTATCTATGTGGATCTTTAGGGATTTTTAGTAATTCAAATTACGTAGTATACGTACCATGCGCGGGCGCAGTGGCGGGCTGTCGCTTGGGCGAGCCACCAGGCGGCGCTGGCTGCATGGCGCGCGCTAGCGGGCCTTCGCCGCAGCGGCCGCCACCCTCCGGCTCATGGCTGTAACAAAAACAAAAATATTAACAACTAAACTAAGATATCCAATTCTTCTGAATACAATGACTAAACTATAGCAGCTCTCTTATGATTCGGTCTTGTGTAACTTTAGGTTCGGTATGCTGTAGGTTGAATTAGGGAGGTGTTAACCACCTAATTAACTTATATACAATTAACATAATTATATAACAAGAATCATTTAAATCATTAGCAGGATAGCAGGTGTTTTAAAAAACGTTACATTTAACATCCATATTTCGTCATAAGAAACTAAAGACCAAAGACTTTAAAAAACATAGAACATTTTATTGCTTGAAATTATGTCTAAATTCTTGAAATGATCTTTATTCCGAAACAAATCAAACCTTAACGAGTAAAATAAATGTTAAAGTCATTCGATACTGTAGAGCAATTTTCTATTTGTTTCCCGATCATTTCCCATTCAAAGGTTCCCGTAGCATCGAGACTGATCCTAATTCCGAACAGCCACTGTGGAAATGTTTATTGTGATATTTTTATCTATCTCTCATTGTGTATTAGATATTTTATCTTACTGCGAATTTCAAATGTCGATACATTTCTTCAGAAACATGTTATCTTAAATCAACGGCAATGAAGGAGATGGCAATATATTATATTTTTGTTAAAATTTTTCGGCAATGGAAACATAAGGTTTGACCGACAGAAAACTAATATCAAGGAATGATATACAAACAATCTTACTATTTACTAATATTATAAATGCGAATGTTTGAACGATAGATGGATGGATGGATGTTTGTTAGATGGTATATCCGGAACGGCTCAACGGATTTCGGTAATAATTTAGCACAGACGTAGAAAGTAGCTGTTGCAGTTTTTCAAATTAAGAATATTCACTAGACGAAGTCCCGGGAGACCGCTATTTCGAAATGTGAAAATTTTTAGACAATCTAAAAGACAAAGGGTTTATTTACTTTTTTTTAAAGAACAAAAATGTCAGTGCATTCTTACCATATGCAGCCAGTATGTTCTAAAAACGGTGAAACGTAAATCGAAGACATCACTCTAATACGTGCGTATATTTCAAAAGACTACAAGAAACAGAACTTATTATAAAAAATGAAGTTAATCATGATTTTATATGTTTATTTATTTATTTATTTACTTTACAGTTAATAATATAAACTATATGTTTGTTTAAATGCATTTATTACAAAACATTTGACCTTAGTCTTATTATAGAATGACTAATGTTATCGATTGCCTCTTGATTATACTATCCTTTCATATGTTTTTAAACATGAGTTTTCACTGCTTAAATACATGTTTGTTAAATACATCTCTTTGTTAATAAATAATAATACCACGATAAATTTGAAGTAAGTAAAACTATAAAGAAATTTTGCATATTTCCAATGATATAGAATTTTTTTGTGTAAACCACGCTGGCCCAGTGCGGGTTGACTTAACAAATGTCATTGAATTTTGCAGATATGTGCAGGTTGCATCACGATGTTTTCCGTTACCGAATGACTACAGTCTAGACACCCCTAACTTAGGGTTGGTAGCCCTTCATGGGGAGGTATAGTGAGCTGGTTATGATGAAAACTATTGAATTAAATAAAAAGTACAAGTGGCAACCCTAACGCCCCTGCTATCCGACAGCCGACACAGTGAACGTAATGTTATTTTGTTACGGCAAGACACTGGAAAATTAGGTTTGCGCGTCCATCTTGAAACTGGGAACACTATTTTACAGCGCCTTGGCTGTAATACGTTCATAAAAAAAAATCGTCTCGTTTAAAAAGATTTATTATATTCATTTGATTTCATCGGAGGTATGTTTCCATTGTCACATTTTTATACAGTATGTTTTTAAATTAAGAAAACACACGATTAGATTTGCTACATACATTTTTATTTAAGCGCACACTAATTACATACTTTATACATCACACAATTCAAATTAATTAGAATTTTCAATCAATACGTATCGCTAATAGCTTCCATTTGCCTCTTGTATGTCTTTAATTATTCACAGACGGATCTGGCTGTTGGCCGTTGACCGCAGGGCTGTTCAACCCCCAACCCAGCCCACCGCCAACCCCCTGCAACCCTACACGCATCGATTGGACATTCGGCGCATGCAAATGCACCGTGCGTCGCCACCCCCGCATTAAAGCGCAGCTAAATATATTTGGTATACGCAACGCTAACAAAGGGTTGTTGAACGCTTGCATACTTATGAATATCTTTCATTTGTTTTTATTCAATCATGCACGTTACTTTGCTTTCTATGCTTATTAAGCTTGTAAACTAATAAAGAGTAAAAAAACAAGCAAAAGCAAGCTTAAAAAAGATTATATTATACTAGCTGTAGCCAAAAAAACATTGTTAGTAGTCTATGTGTTCATCCAGACTATGTTCTGTATGCCAAATTTCAGCGGGATCCTTTCCAACTTACTAATACCATCAAACATCTATCCATTCATCCTCCATCCATCCATCTAAACATTCGCATTTATAATAATCTAATACTAAATAGTTATAATGTGTTGCAAAGGAGATTGTAGCCCGTTTCTATGACGTCATAGTTTTAAAACGAAAAAAATAGTGTTAGAAAAACGGATATTTTTTTTAATAAAATAGATTTTTCATCTGTATCTGGATTCATTGTTTTGAATCTGTATTTTAGTAGTGTTTGCTGACAGATCGAGGTCATTGAACATAAAAAGGTCAATAAACAGCATTTCAGTTCTATCCACAGTTGAAATATGCTATTCAATAAAGATTTTACGACATTCTGGACATAAGCCAATACCGCAGCAAGTCTAGACACGTGGGACTATTGTTATAACCTAACTAGGTCTTGGACACAATCATACCTGGATGCTCTTTGAATCATAAATAGAATATTTATTAGCGGGTAATGACCCCTATTCCTTGGACAATAGGGGCGATAGTTTGTGCAACTGTAATTTGCTGATTAGTCGTGCGTGTGGCGGAATGTTGTATTCAAAAAGCGCTATTGTCATTTGTTAAAATTAAAATATCAATTAGATTTACGACTGTCATACCAAATGGGTGAACAAAGAAAAAAAATAGTGTTGTCTTTATTTTTCCTAATAGACTAGAAAGGGATGCCAAGATGTTGGCAAGAGATGGAATTGATAATTTACCGTTCATAACTTCCGGACAGTTAGAATTTATTAATTCTCCCGACCAATAAAGTTTCCAATTTTGTAAATGAGTAAGCCAAATATCTAAGGTTATCGTACAAAATACAGAATGGAAACTGACCGTAATAAAAAATCAGCAAATTTGAACACCCCCTAGATAACTATTAAATTGAATACTAGGGCCACAACATCTGGTGAATGTGTCGAAAATGCGTAGCACAACGCCCTTTCTCCGCATGTAGACGCACCCTTAGGTTGCAATAAACAAAGACTTATAAAACAATAGACAAGGCAATGAATATACTATACCTAATATTATATTAATACATTATATATTGACATATATATATATGATACATTATATAAGCACAATTTAATCATCACCATTAGCTCACTATACGTCCCCACCAAAGGGGCACGGAGCCTACCCTAAGTTAAGTGTGATTAGGCCATAGTCAACCACGCTGGCCAAGTGCGGGTTGGTTGACTTCACACATATCTTTGAATTTCTACTCAGATATGTGCAGGTTGCATCACGATGTTTTCCTTCACCGTAAGAAAGTCGGATAAATGTACATATGTAAATCGGAAATCGAAAAACACATTGGTACATGGCGGGATTCTAACCAAGGACCTGCAGATTGCAAGTCAAGTGCTTGACCCCATGAGCCACCGACGCTCAAATATTGAATATTTATAATAATTTAATATTTACGAATAAACAATATGATAAATAATACCATTTCTAGATAAAACATAACACGATCTATGTGTTTCACAACAGTTTTCCCAAAGAGGTCGTTGTATTAGCACGTATTTACGCACGTGAGAATAACAGTATTGTAATATACAATATACATAAACAGCTATTATAATATAGATCATAGAGTCGACATGTCGATGACCCAGCACGATTATATGCGATTATTCCCCTGTGTCGCAAAACTACAATACGAAGTACTGACCTACTTGCAGTAAGTGTAATAATATGAATAAATAAATATTTATTACATAGGTTAGGTATTGCGTTTACATTGTATTGATTGATAAATTTCGAGATGGATAAAGTATTCATATTAATACAACTCACGCTTGTAACACAGAGGGGTAGGCAGAGACAACGGATCTCCATTTGGCGTGGCCAAACTAACCTCAGCAATCCACTTTTCGCCATTTCGGGAGAAGGAATATGATGGGTGGCGAGCTGGCTTTGACTCCCGGGAATTCACACATATTTTTGAAATTTCTTTTGCCGATATGTACAGGTTTCATCTCGATGTTTACACCGTAAGAAACGTCAAATAAATGTATATATGTAATTCGAAAATTATATTGGTACATGGCGGGATTCAAACCCAGTATCTCCAGGTTACAAGTCAAGTGGTTAACCCCTGAGCCACCGACGCTCTTCGTAGTTTAAAAGTATTTATAATATTCTTGAAATACTGATATTTTTATATTTTGTTATCTCTACTTTACATTAATAAGACAATGTTTTTGTACCTGTTTCGGCAGTGGAAACACAATTATAACATAAACATTGGGGTATGGCAACGTGGGAACATTTCTAACGCCACAGTTCAATACGTGGGCGAAGTTAACGTTTATCTCTGAATAATATATTCTGTAAGGTCGTGTATTGACGAATTCTTTGATTGTACGCACACAAGAATAACTATTGCATAACAATTGTTAAGTTGACATCATACACCAAAGATAGGATAATACTCGTAACATATAGTAGATATCTCCCTCTTATACATCTGGTCATCGTCACAAATAAATAAATCGATAGCTCCTACGTAAATTGTCAAATATTCTATCTTCTATCTATCGATTGCT